CAGAACATAGCTCACTGCTATAATGCACCTCTATGGAAACAGAGAGGAAATACTAACCAAGCACTATGGTAACACAAAGAGAGAAAGACATAGCAAAGGCTTGGTAAGAATCAGCCAGTCGCACAGACGGCTTACAGCTGACACGATCCCTACACATCCTGACAAAACAGACCCGTTGTTACCGCCCTGCACTGAGCTGGCTCATTTGGTTTCTCTTCCTCCCTTTCAAAGCAGCTCCATCATTAATTTGACACAATAACCCTAATATGTTGAGCCCCGTCCAGTCTTTGTTTTCGAGCCGTCACCTTGACAAACGCAGCCCCTGACACATGCTCACCTCGCTCCTCCATGCATGCGACATGCCCTCACCCATCTATCTTCTGCTTTTCCTGTGTGACAGTAAACTATTTATTTCATGCCTTTAAAATACATTTATGAATCGTTTCTAATGGCTTACTGACGGAAATGGATCAAAGCGACCTGGGAGCTTTGATGTTATAGGAGAAAAACCAACCAACCAAAAAAAACAAAACAAAATAGGAAGTGTCACGACTCACTGTGTCCCTTGTCCTGGCAAAGAAACTCTAACATGCATCTGTTCATTTCCGCTAATAACACATTAGCACGTTAATCGATGTTTTTCACTCGTTTGTAAAACCCTGTTTTTCTCCACTGCGTGCTCGTGGCGCCGTCGACGTTCTGATTCCAGTAATTAGATTCCCTCGGTAAATAAATACCCATCGACTCCTCCAGCACCCAGCTGCAGCCTTTCCTTTGCCCGATGTCTTTGTACATTATCTCAAATTGATTGTGCTTTAAAAAAGCTATTACAATTTATTCTATTTGCTATCAGATAACGATTATGAGGTGCCTGAAAAGGCCTCTTTAGTGGTAAACCATGCGTGGACTGGGAGCCAGGGGAGGCAGGGAGTGGATGTTATGCATTCAGATTAGGTGGAATGTGGCTTGTGAAGGCCGTTAGTCAAAGATGATGACTCCAGCCCTCCTGCTGGCAGTGCGGTGTGGGTGGGGAAGCAGAGTGGAGCTCGGTGGAGGGGAGCTAGGGGTGGGGGTATAGGCTCGACTGCTCTGCTGGCGCTCTGGGCACTGACACGGCGGCTCGACTGCTCATCAGTCACTGAGGAGAAAGCGCGGCTGCATCTAGGGCGGCTAATGCCCTCGCTCTGTCACATCATTAGTGACACAGCCTTAACTTGCCATTCTGGTGCCTTCATTTAGCACAGGGGTTTACCGGGGACATAAGTGGAGATAAGAAAGCAACACGGACTGGGAGCTTTCAGATGTTGATTTAAAAAGGGCACAGAAACACACCTCGGGCTCCGTCTGACCCTGGTGCTCAACGCATGGACTCCGCTAATGCTTTTAGCAGGATCTAACTTCTAATTTACTGCCCCAACTTTTAGTTGCCTCAGACAGCAGTCTTTGATGAGCCATATACTGTGTAAATCTGCATATCAACCATCGATTTAATAGTCACAAGTTTTTATCTTAATTATTGCTCATTTCGACCACACAAGAATAGCTAGTGATTATGAAAACACAGTAACCTCGAATAACCCACCACAGAGTTTCTGTAGAGATTTCTCAGAGTAGGTCTCCCGGTCGCAGCCCTTTCCAATGTGGCTGGTCTGCAGCTCCACAGTGGTCCTCACCGAGGACAGAGGTCCGCCACAGGTCTCGAGGTGCATCCTGGGAAACAGCTGCTTACTGCCTGTTCCCGGCTCATAGTCCACTCGCTTATTCCAGCCTGGGGGAAAAGAAAAGATGGAGTGACAGTCTTAGCGAGGATATATTATATTGTAGAGTTTATCTTGTGAGTGGATGCAGATTATTATCTGTAATAATATCAGATTTTCACAAGCCCGTCGTTGCTTTTGTTATTGCACGTTTTGCGCCTCATTTTGTCCATTTAGACTGCCATCAAAACAACACCAATTCCAATTTTTCTCTGTCACTGGGATTTCTGGCATCACAACTCAATATCCTTCTGGCAGAATGTACCCTACTAATGAAATTGCTGCATTGTTGTTGGAGTGCAGTGCAGTACCTGCATTAGCGGCAACAGTCATTATGCTGTCACTGTCTGCCATGTCAGCTGTGAATTGTGTTTTTCTATCCAGGAAGGCTATTATTTTGTGTGGCAGTAATTTTTTTCCCCCTTTTTCAATCAATTTTTTTTTTCCAGGCTTTGCGGTGTGATGTTGTGTTCATCTGCAGTGTCTCTTCTATTTAACAACAGAATGAATTGTGGAAATCTGTAACCTGTTTAATGTTTTCCACGAGTTGTGTTTACAGTGAGCCGTTCTCACTCATTATCTCACTTTCAAACAGAGCATTTGGCATATCTATAAATGCTGTCAGCACATATTTCCAACATTTTCTCATCCCTGTTACTTCTTTTACTTTGCTTCCTCTGTCATACGCCAGCATCACCGCATCATCGCTCATGAAACTGGCTCTTTAAAAACAAATTATATGACCTCAGAATTATTGATACCAGCTCTAAACCATCCTACCCGGTCCATGCTTTTTTCACAAGCATACATGAGCTCCAATCCATCCACTGTCTATCTACCTCTCTGTCCACGATTACTAGCCAGGAGCTGGAGGCATAAGCATGAAGCCAAGCTGACCGAAGTAGAAGGGAGCATCTTTTTGTTGCTCACAAGCCTGTTAAATGTGCCATGTTCACTTCCTCTCACACTCACCAGCTCATGCTGAAACACATACACATGCTGCATCTGTTTTGCAGTTGATTTACTTCCTCTAGACTGCGATTGCTCTGGGCTACAGCACCACTGTTTCTATGGGATTGGCTGTAGCAGAAATGAAAATAGGTACCAACAACAGTGCACGCTAAACAAGAACAAAAGCACATGCAGGAGCATTTTAAGAAGAGGCCACAAGCACAAAAGACTTGGCTAATTTAGCCTTTTTTTCTTCTTTCTCTTACTCCCCCCCCCCCACACACACACACACATTTCATTGTGCACACAGTAACTGCATACATGCCTGTCTAATCCTACTTGTTGATTACCCCTGTATGGAGTTGCTACTTCTGTGGTCCACTTTGGGGTTGATGCTTTTAAAGCTAGTCAGCTATTGATTTGAACCAGCTGATGGGTAAGCTGCTGATATGCCACTCTTTTTTGAGAGGTAGCAGCAACAACTGCCGACAGACATTCAATCTTCATAACAACAATAGACGAAAAATAGTTCTTTAATTTTGTGTGAGCAGATAGAGTAGCTAACCTAGAGGGATTTTTTTCACAGCAGAGCTTTGTCTGTCATTCTTCTTTTGCTTTTCTCACTTTTTACTATCAAACTTTAGCAAGGACGTCCACTAATAATGCTCTGTTTTGTCTGAAAAAACATCTTTCCGTTTTCTCATATTTAAACAAAAAAACTGCACGTTTGCCAACAGTGAGATGAGAACATCAGCTAGTGATACAGTAAACTTAGATTAGCATACGTTGTGTTGTGTCTGTGTTTTAAATCTTAGTACCAGCACAGTGGCCCTAATTCTGTTCTAATTTTTCATGTTTCTTTCTTTTTTATAAATTTCCACCAGTGGGATGATGGGAAATAGTCTCAAAGTTGATCCGTTTATGGTTTTCTGAACTGCAACCCTTCAAGATCCCCAGTCTTTGGAAAATCTTATAGTATATAGTCTCAAACTAAAAGCCTTAAGTCAACTTTTAAATGTGTGAGGGTCCCAGTCTTTAAAAGTTTAAAGTCTTCCAGTGTTTGGTAGCCATTGTATAACTTTTACTCATGGTAAAAACCCACAGTGTGGTCATTTTGTTAAAACAAATGGCGAAACAGTCAGGTGACTTTGCCGTGCAGGTCAACAACTAATGAACTTTATCTAAAAACAGTAGGCTAGATTTGTATGTTCTGTTCAGAATGTGTACATGTCTGTGTTTTATACTTAAAGGTTTGCGTGTGAACATACCAGCGTTGGCACATTTCAATATATTTATATATAGTGGTTGTATAATAGCAGGTGCATCCAGTGGCAGCTTCCACACGTACTTGTATGAACAGTGACCAAGTTGAATGTGAAGCTTTCTCACTAATCAAAACATTAAAGCAATATCATAATTAGACCTGTGGAGTTTAGCTCAGCACATGAGCTTTAGCGTATTTCGTCACTAGTTCGTGTGCTGGGATCACAGACTAATATAATTCCACTTTTAGAAAACATATGACTATGGATGGAGGTGTAAGATGGTCAGATTTGGTCAGAATTGGAATTATTTCTTCTGAAAGAACCTTAAGTTTGTTTGTTTTTTTACTTACTTTTACAACTACTAGTTGAAGATTTACTTTGGCTGACTATAACTGCAGTAGTTTAGGATGTTCTTGAGCATTTGCAATGAAGGCAACTGAACTAGGCTTGTGAAGAAACCAAGAGGTTTCTTGAAGTTCTAAAAACGAATGAAGAGTCCCAGGTATTTAACCTCCTTGTCTCCTCACAGCTGTAGACCCACCCTAGTCATGTGAGTCGTTAAGGGTCACATGAGCCAAGGTGTGAATCGCAGCATGAGTAATTAATGACGGTTGTTCACAGTGGACATAGATAACCATCACTGAACAGAGGCCTATGATACCAGCTATCAGTCACATATAACACAGTCTTGATCCCTTCTCTGGTATTTCAACCCCGCACTCACACCTTGACCCATGTGACCTTAATAACTCACATGATGGCAGGTGGAGCAACATCTCACAAAGCATTCACACCTTGGCCCCTTTGATGGCCCTGAATCACTCCCTAGTTTGGGTGATTCTTAATGACTTGATTACAGGATGGGCCAGTGGCTCTTAGGACCCCTTTCAAGGGGTTAAATGCCTGGGACTCCATCATCTGAAACATCTTGATGGGAGGTGAAAAATCTTCACGAGTCAAAAAGAAGTAGAGTCGCTTGAGACCACCATGACCTGGATGACTAAGAATGTAGACCTAAGATTTAAATTTGCGAGAAGGTGTAAAAGGCTGTTCAGTAAAAAGAGACTCCATGAACAAATGAAAGGTGATAATGGGGCTTAACTTTGCCTAGCTCTACAATTTGAGCAAGAGCAGGGATAATAGAGCAGAGCTTGGTTAAGAATGCATGAAAACGTGTGAGGGAAGGGATAAATGAGCACTGAAAAAAAGAGCATGTTAGATATACCTAATTAATACTGGACATTGGTTGCACACAGATGTTTTGCTTTGGCAGAAACTTAAACAACTGAGTTAAATCAACACAACTTATTCATATTCAATAAACCTGTGCATTTTGTGTTGATAAAATGCGATTGAAGCATGTTTAGATGAAGTAAGTTGAGCTCTTGGAATGTTTTAATCCTTCACAGTTTTGTCATTTTATTCCAGCACTATTCAATAACTTTTACCCCAGTACTACTTGGTTACTTAAATACTACATGTTGTCTTCATATTAACATATTGTTCAACAAAGTCTAGAGTCTGGTTAACATAAAAATTTAATGGATTTACAACAAGTTCCTTTCTCCTTTATCCGGGTTGCAGGGGAGCTGGGGCATAACCCCAAAGTGAAAGGATAAGAGCAGGGTACACCCTGGACAGCTCACCAGTCTATTACATAGAGATAAACAACCATTTCCACTTACATTCACCAATTAACCTAACTCTAATAACTGCATGGCTTTTAACTGTGGAAGGAAACCAGAGAGAACACAGTGCAAACTAACCAGCTTGTGGATTTGAACCCAGGACCTTCTTGCTGTGGGGCAACAGCACTAACGACCACGCTACGGATTAACAAGGCTTATCAAGGCTTGATGCAGAATTTTGTCGTTGATAGGTTAAACCACAATAAATAGCAATACCATATACGTGTGTGTAGTTTTCTGCCTCTTATAACTCCTGTGATTTCCCTGCAGTTTGTAATCTCATGTGATCTTGTGAATCCAGCAACTAACCGCTCTTACTAGACTGTATCATGTCATCTCAACGAGATCAAATTAAGTTGTTGAATTTCATACAGATCCTACATGATTTGATTATGTTCACCATAGAAACGTGAAACTATTTTGTTCAAATTACAAGTTAGACTTTTGTAAATGTAACAACCACCCATTTTCCTTTTTTTCGGTATCCCCCAAAAAAGTAGAGGCCTTCCTCAAACCACGATCCACAGTGCGCAAGCCAAAATCCCGTGCAAGATATAACATTGCTGTATTATTGACTTCACTTGAACTTGATATGAACAATTTAATATACCTTCTCTCCATATCACGTAGTTTCTACACTTAACTTTAAAGCATGAGGCGATTGTGTTAAATACACGCAAGATGCTTACATAAATCCAAGAGATGGGCAATCCCTTTTTTTCAGTGAGGAGTCATGGGTTGAGGACACAGTTAGCATATATGGGAAGGACCTGGTTCAGATTGGAAGTAGGTGATTAACGGTTATGGGTTAGAGAGCACTAGACAAACATGAGGACTTAAAAAAGGTGCAGACTCAGGAAAGATTAAAGTGGTTTCAGTCTCCTCAGTCCTTAGTTAAATCTCACCACCTGCAGTCTAGTTGTCTGGAGGTTGCAGTGACCAGAATGCATTCACTAAACCTGATAAACTTCATGGTAAGGCTGTATAAATGAGCTGGTGAGCTTTTTATGATGTCGCAGCAGGTTTATCATACTGAAGATTGACACCATTTTTTTAACCAACCAGCTGATTCTTTTCTTAGTGATATGATGATATGTCATTACCTGA